CGGGGATGCTCGGGCAGCCTGGCCCCGCGGGATGCTCAGCATCGCCCGTCGCGTTTCGGCTGGCTCCAGCCGTCCTCATTGCGGTGTAATCCAGCCCTCCGACGGATTTAGGCCACGGCTCCCCAGTTAACCCCCTTGCAAAATCAGTGCCGGGCAGAACCCACCGGTGCGGCTTTAATACAGCAGTGCCACCGCTGTGTGCCGAGGTACAGGCTGCTCCCTGCCCTGCCGATTCAGGGCCAAAGTTGTAACAAAATACAGCCTCACTGAGCTGGCAGGTCTGTCCTCCTCTGCCTGGCTAGGCGTGGAGTGTTTCTAGCCAGGAGTCAAACCCTCTGGAGCTCAGTCGTGTTTCTCCCCAGAATCGATCACTGGAACAATGAGAAGGAGCGTCTCGTCCTCATCACAGACTGGTCCCTCCTGGTCTGCAAGTACAACTTCATCAGCCTGCAGTGCCAGCACGTGACGAGGATTGCCCTCAATGCCGTGGACACCATCTCTGTGGGGGAGTTCCAGTTCCCCCCGAAGTCTCTGAACAGGTAAGATGCCATGGCCACACGGTAATGTGACCAATCTGGCACAGGTGTTGTGAACAGTTTGAGCTGTTGGCCTGTCCCTCACCACTGGGCAGGTCGGAGAGCTCTGCCTGTTGCTCATGTGAGTCTGCAAGCAACTCCTGAAGCTTCCTTAGAAGACGTCAGGGTAGCTGCTGCTTTGCTGGGCTGGTTGGTAGTTACATGAGCAGGGAGTTGCCCAAGGACTTTCCAGATAAGATGAGCAGATCTGGCAGAAGTTCGTTGCCATTGTGTAACGCAGTAAGTAGCAGCAGCACCTTCGTGTTGTCAGGCCCCATGTCCACACAGCCAGTGCAGGGTGGGTACTGCATCCCACGTGTCCAAGGAGCTTCACCTTCTTGCTCTCAGCTCATAAGAATGTTTCTTTGCATGTTTCAGGGGCTGAACTCTTGCATTTCTTGCCTGTAGGCAGAATTTACTATCATTTGTGTTTCAGCTTCTGCTTTCAAGGAGGTGTATTTCAGGCAGAACATTCTAGTTAGAAGTGGCTGAAAGACTCAGGTGTTGCCATGTTAATTCTTGACTCCCAGGAGGGAAGGCGTGGGTATCCGCATCCAGTGGGACAAGCAGAGCAGAGCATCCTTCATCCACAGGTGGAACCCGTGGTCCACCAACATCCCCTACGTCACCTTCACCCAGCACCCCATGGCAGACGCGGACGAGAAGGTCGCGTCGCTGTGCCGGGTAAGGATGTGCCTCTCCTGCTCCCAGGGGCTCTCTGGGCTCACAGGATGAACACCAGTTGGGGCATTTTGAACCAATGCAGCACTAAATCAAACGGGAGCAGCTACATCGGGGTGGGACTCAGAGCTGTGTGTCCCAGTCTCCAAGCAACCCACCCGTCTGTTTGTGCCAATACACACAGGCAGCTGAAACTTCCAAGGGTGCACAGTCCTGTAAGATCTTGGGCTATTTCTGATCTTACCTGATGGGCCTGACTTCCAGCTAATTAACAGCTGGTTTAATTGCAAAACGTTTAGTGAGGTTGTTCTCAGTTCTTCCTGCACTAGGTCCCTCCCTAGGAAGGTTGGCCTAAAACTAGCACTCCATTAAGTGCAGCACATCGGTGATCAGGGCAGAAACAGACCCTGTCAGCCAGTGATACATCTCTCCCTGCCCAGTCCCTGTGTTTCAGCCCCATGCCAGCAGTGTCCTGTGTGAAATTAACTGAGTCACTGAGGTTCCATGCTGGAATGTAATGTCTATCACAGCACAGGAGATCCCAAACTCCAGTGTTAATCCTTCACCATTCCACATCAGCTTGCCCAGCAGTTTGTAAAGCAATGGGAAAACCAGGTGATTTTTTTCCTTTCAGCTGGAAAACTTTCAAACCCAGCTGATCCAGGCTGTGAAGAATGCCCACAAGGAGGGCACAGCGCCCGGAGGGGCTAACGGTGTGTTGGTGCTGGAGCAACCCATCCTCATCGAGACCTACCTGGGACTCATGTCCTTCATCAACAACGAGGCCAAACTGGGCTACTCCATGACCAGGGGCAAAATTGGATTCTAAAATCCCTTGTGTGTCATCAGTGAAGGGCAAGTGGCTTGTGGTGGCCTCCTGGGGACAGCACATGGGGCAGAGTATGTGACAGCGGAGGGAGGGAGGGCGGTTGTAGGGCAGTTCCCAGGAGGCCCTGGTTGTCTTGGAAAGGTACAGAGAGGATTTGAAGCAGACACAGGGTGGTGTCAGTGTTGTATTTGTCCCTGATTTACAGCCCTCAGTGGTCCTTGCAGTGGCATGTTCTGTTCTGCCTGCCTGTCCTTACCTGGTCACTGAGTGCCATTGGACCCTGCTAACACCCCAAAGCACCACTGTCCAGCAGAACCTTTGTGCCATGCTCCTCTTGTAGCCTCATGTGCCCTTGGAAGAGGAATTGCTGCTCCAATCCCAGAGATCTCAGAGCTCTGGTAAGGGTTTTGAAAGCTGTCAGTCAGTCCTTAGCCAAGGGCGGCAAATGCTCTTACAGCTGCTCCTGCCCAGCAGCAGTTTGTGAACTCTCAATCTGCGTTTATGAGCTTTTTGTAGAAGTTCCTCTAAGAGCCCACTGGACTTTCCTCCCTACTGCTGCAGCCACAGAGTAAGGACTGTTGTGAGGACATTGCCAAAAGCCTCAGCAACATTTGCCTTCAAAGCTTCCTCTGTGAAGCTGAACAGGAATTCTATTTCCATTTCATTTGTAATCTTAGCCATTTTTCTGAAACCTGCTCTGGTTTGGGCCAGGACTTTGCAATGGAGACAGAAAACTTCCAGCACTGTGTGTCAGCCTTGGTTTATACACTGACCCTCACATCCAGGAATGAAATTCAGCAGCAGCACAAGAGGTTACACTGATATAGCTTAGGAGGTGACTAGCAAGCTTTTTCCTTGTGCATGACCTTCCCTCCCTTTTAGCAGAGCATTTACCTGCTGGATAAATACTGTGCTGCAGTGGTGGTATTTTTGGCCTTAACATAGGGGGGGGTGTGTGTGTGTGTGAAAGTCCTGTTGCATTCCCTCCTGGCTCCAGCTTTCCCCTCCCCTCTCCATGCATTTTGTGAGGTAACTGTTCAGTTTGCATTAAAGTTAAATTTCAACTCTATTTGGTCTTTGTTTTTCATTCCACAAAATTAAATAGCTAAGGAAAAAAACATCCAATAAATCCTAACCCAGGACAGTCCAGCTGCTCCTGCCCTGCCAAACCACCCAGAGTTGGGAATAAACCTCCCATTGCAGTGCCTGTAATTCAACATCCTGAAGTGTCAGTTGTGATCCCTCTGGCAAAGATTCCATGTTGTAACTCCATGGTGGCTCAGACACAGCTCGGGTCACCCAACACTGGATGCAAGGAGCTGTTTCCTCGTGCTGGGATAAACCATCACATCCCTGATCACACGCAGAAGTGCAGGTTTAGAGTGTGTAACTATCAAAATATTTATTGGACATTAGAAAATGTAACTTCCAGCTCTCCTGTATATACACACAGAGCTACAGGCTTAGGAAATAAGGGCTCAGAGCTGACAGAGAAAGGTTCAACTACATCAGTGCTCAGGTTTCCCTGCAGTCCAGGCTCACTCCCCACACTGCAGTGCTACCTCACTGCAACTCAGGGCAGTCCCAGCCCTTCACACCCTGACCTTGGAGCTCCTGCAGATAAATAACTTACAAACACTTCAGGGTTTGACCTCTCAAACTCTCCTCCTTCTTCCTCAGACTTGGGAGCATCTTTAGTGCATTTCAGTTGTTTTATTTTACTTCTTCTCTCTCTAAGTAACACACACAGAAGTTGTCCTTACTCAGGAGCAGCAAGGAATCCCCGTTGGGATGCCAGGAGAGAGACACGATCTGGAAGTCACCTGCAGGGAGAGATCAGTGTGTCACAGCAAGGAGGTGGCAGCACATCCTCCTGCTCTAGGAACAGGAGCTAAGCAGCTGGTGGCAATCCCTGCAGGGCCTTACCTTCCCCAGGCACCTGCACAGCCACACAGCCAGCTGGGGACCACAGGTACACCTTGCTGTTCCCCGTGCACAGTGCCAGGCGAGGCTGCTGCGGGTCCCACTGGAAACACTGCACTGTGCACAGCTGCTCCAACACCACAAACAGCTTCAGCTTCTGGATGTCCCAGATCCAGACAACACTGGGAATGTTATCTGTGAAGGAAGTGGCAGTCAGGTAATAGCTGGAGGATGGAAGGATCACACCTATGTTTTTTAAATGGGCATTAATTGACACAAATTGACACAGAAGCACAGAATAATTTAGGCTGAAGATCTTTGAGATCATAGAGTCCAACCTTAAACCACAAAGCCTTAGGTACAGCCCAGGGTTATCACCACTGGAGTTCTGCTAAGCACAGCCTTCAGTTTTGCCTTAGAAATACTGCAGAAAAAGGCCAAAGAAGTGACTTGGCCCATCCCAGTCCTTCCCTGGCTTTTGGGACACTAATCTGTTGAATGGGCTTTGCTCCTGTCCCACAGCTTTGGCATCCAGACCTGAACAGCCCCTCGGGACCATCGAGGGGTCCTCAGAACATGAGCTCCATGACTTTCCCTGTCTGAGGCAGCCAGAATCCCTCAGCTAGAGGCTGTGCAGAATTCTGCCCCTCGGGAGTCCCAGACTGGGTTTCCTCTGCAGTTACATGTCTGGCAGCAGAGCTGATTTTACAGGGTCATGAGTCTTGTAAGTGACAACTACTGTCCTGGTTTATTAGGAACTCTCCCCCTCTCCAGGAGCAGTTTCCCTTCAGGCAGGGCAGTCAGAACTCACCATTCTTGGTTGCCAGGAAACAGTTATCAGCACTGAACGCCAACATCCCAACTCCCACCTTGGGGTTTGCCTTGTCAGCGACTGGTTTGATGTACTGCAGTGAGACTGGCACCTGGGAAATGTCATCTGGAGTGGGGAAGAAAAGGACTCCACTGAGCAAGGCTGGATGGGCCATGCCCTTAAATCCCAACTGTCAAACCCTCATCTCTGAAGTGACAGGATTATATTTACTCTTCTCCAGGAGGTTCCAATCCAAACTTCAATTGTTTTAAGACAGTGCATCTAATTGCTACTCCTGCCCTCCTACAATCTGATTTTCCTGGATTTCCTGCTGGAAATCCAGGAAAATCAGATTAAATTAGGAAGACAAGGAGAGATCAGATTTTTCACTACCTTTTAACTGACATTTCAAACAGTAGTGCAGAACAAAGGTGATTTACAGTGTCACAACGTGGCTGATTGTTACTGCCCCGAGAGCATCCAGAGGATCTGCTCCTGCATCCAAGGGGCAGAGTGAACCTCTAACTTTCATTTCTAGAAACACTTCCCAAGGCAACTCAAGTGTCTCAATTTGAGTAAACTTTGGCTTACATTTACTCTTTGTGCTGAAGAGAGAACTAGCCAATGCTCTTGG